GAAGGGTGTGTGTGTGCCTCCTGCCAGCCAGGAGCCAGGACTAGGGTGTGAGGAGCAGGCAAGGCCACCCCCAGGCCTGGTGGGTGTTTGCACACTCGTCTGCAAGAGGTTCAGATCGAGGCAGGGTCAGGTCAGGGTCCCCCACCTCCCTGCACTGTTTACCTGCCGTAGACAGGGCCAGTGGACACTGTGCACCCCGGGGTGGTTGTAGAGCCGAGGGCCCCCACTCCATTCCCTGGGGTGGGTGTGATCCCAGCTACAGGAGAGGACACAGGCTCTGGTCACCTTTGTTTGGGAGGACTGATGTGGCACTGGCAGCCACTCCCCGAGAGGGCCACAGGAGCAGCCTGCAGGGGCCCTGCCCATCCTTGCCCACTCATTGCCCCTCCAGGAGCCTTGAGTCAAGGAAGGCCTAGATGCTGTTGGGAGAGGCCAGCGGCTATGCCAGCCCAACAGGGTCTGGGTTGGCTTCCTGGTGCCATTAGAGAGTGAGGAGGCTCCCTAGTGAAAGCCACCCGTGACTCCATATCCAGAGTGGAGGGACCTGGGAGAGATGGGGTCCTTCCTCTGGGGACCTCAGCGTCTCGAGGGGTCCCTGGTGTGCACAGGCTTGGCCCTCCGGAGGCCAGGCTTTGAGTAGACCTCCTCACTCACTCTGTCCAACCTGGGCCATGGGATCCTAGGAACCCCTCCAGCCCGAGCCCTGGACCAGGGCTTCTCAGTTGGCACTCTCCCAGCCAGCCTAGGGACAGTGGTCTCAGCACACCTGGGGCGCCCTGGAGCCCTGCCAAGGATTCTGCCTTCTCCCCACCCCAAAGCCACCCAGTGTGGTCAGGGGATGCTGGCCCTGGCACCGGAGCCCAGGAGAGCAGGGGCAGCTGCCTCTGGAGGACAGTCCTGGGCAGCGTCCTCTTGGGCCTCCCTGGGAGCCCCCAAAGACGTCTGTGGTCACCACAGGACTGTCTGCAATGCCTGGCTGGCCTGCGGGCTCCGGGCTGGAGGCTGTGGGATGGGCCAGCTGGGGTTTCACTTCTGTTCTGGGAGTTGACATCCCGTGAGGGCCTCCCACTCTCCCCACCCTTCCTCTCTGCCTGAAAATGCACAGCAAGGCTTTTTGTCTATTCCACTTGGACTTTGGGAAGAGCTTCAAGCCTCTTAGAGCTGGAGAGATGTGGGAAGGAGTGGGGTCTAGCCTGTGCACCCCCAAGAATATAGTGGGACAGCATTTCTGAGCAGCCTCCAGGGAGATGGGGGAGACCATGGGCTAGGGTCTTAATTCGGGCCCTGCTGTGTGACTATGGAAAGTCCCTTGGCTTCTCTGAGTCTCAGTGTTTTCTTCTGCAGCCTGGGGTCTAACAGTCCCCACCCATGCCCGTGGTTAGAAGGCGGGACTGAGAACTAGCAGAGTAGGTGGGCCTGGCTAGGTGTGGCTGTGAGGTGGGGCAGCTCTCCCTGGTTAGTTACTGCTAACTGATAACAGGCCAACCCCAGGCCTGCGGGTGGAAGCCAGAGGTAGGCCCTGGAGTCAGGAGTCCCATCATGGCTCTGTAATTGCACGGGGGACAGAGACAGAGTCGTCAGGTCACTCTGGAAGGCACACAGCCAAGATGTGTAGATCTGAGATTCCTACCAGGCCTGCCCCATGGGCCAGCCCAGAGGCTGGGGAAAGTTCAGGGTCCACAGGGGGTAGGAGGCAGGTGGGGACTGGGCACATGGCTAGAAGAACATCAGGTGACACCCAGGAGCCGCTTAGGTCACCGCATTGAGACCCACGGTGCGGGCTTGGCGTCAAGGGTCTTGGCACCGCTTGCCCCATGTAAGGCAGGACTAGGAGTGGGGGTTCACAGTGAGCCAGATAGCCACGCCCAGAGGAAGACCAAGGCCAGACAAGCTGTGCCCCACCCATGCGAGGGCGGAGGGGCCGTGGGAGGGCTTCCCGGAGGGAAGGACTGAGCCTCCAGGCAGAGGGAACACAGGCAGGCAGCGATGGGGTTTGGTCCCCTACACCCAGGGGTCAGCACCAAGTCCTCTGCAAGCCCTTTGGGACTGGCACTGTGTCACGGGGCACATCTGGGCAGGCAGAGCCGGAGAGGCCAGGTCCATCCAGAGGCTAAGGGAAGGGACGAAAGGACAGAGGCCTGAGGCAGGTCCCTGAGAACAGGACAGGGAAGGCCCCTGCCCTGCCCCCACTGCTGCTTCCAGCTCCCCCCACTCCTGCCTGCTTTGGGTTCCAGCTCGGGACCACTGTCCGCCCTGGGTACCCCAGGGGACTGGGCCTGGGCCCCTTTCTGAGCCTCCAACCAGGACCCAGGGCCCATAACCAGGAGGCCCTCAAACTAGGCCCCAGGCTCCTCTGCAGACGGGCCAGCGCTCCAGGTGGCCACTGCTCTGGGACAGCTGGCTTCCTGTCAGCATTAGGCTTCCAAGGGTCCTGCCTCTGTCGTCCCCAGCTGGGGAGCTGCCTTCCTGGTGCGCACCACCTTGCCTAGCGGCATCTGGCCGGGCCCACAGTCACCTGGGGGGAGGCCTCACGATCCCTGTGCTGGAAGAAACAGGAGTCGGGTGGCCTGCATCCCCAGACCCGGACGTGAGACTCGCGCCCCCACCCCCACCCCGCATGCCCAGCCCTAGTCCTGGGTTCGGCTGCCGTGGGCTTGGCCTATGGCACAGCGACCGCTCCTGGAAGAGCAGTGTCTCCACTGCTGACCAGGCTGGACCAGGCCAGCTGTGGGGCCCGGCCACGCACTGCAAGGCCCTGGTGACCCTGCCTGGCCCAGTGCAGGTGCAGACACGGGAAGCCCTGCCCAGACCTGGCTCCGTGGAGCACTCACCCTGGTGGGGGGAGCAGCTGTGGGCCAGCACAGGGCTCCCTCACTGCTGGCTCTGTGGCCCCCTCGGGGGCACTCAGCTTCTCTGGGCCTCGGTTTCCTCTTCTACAGAATAGACAGTCAGTCTCAGGGAGGGGTGAAGCTACTGAAAGCAGAGGAGGGCATAGGCGCTCAGGTGGTTGCCGTCCTGTTAGCTGGCATGGCAGCTGCTCTGCGATTGGGAGCTTTAGAGCAGGTCCTGGTGAAAGCTGGTGCTGCCACCCAACCTGGTGCGTACCCAGGGAGCTCGTGGCAGTGGTGTGGACTCACAGGAAAGTGAACCCACACATGTGAATCTACACTGGGAAAGGGGCTCAGGAAGGCAGCCCGGAGGAGTCCAGGCTCCAAGTTGGATAGCTACTTGGCTAGTGACCACAGAGGAGAAAGGCCTTCCAGGCAGGAGGGCAGTGGTCCTAAACCCCCGACGTGTGGCCCCGGCAGGCCCAGTACTCTGCAGGGTTAGGGTGTATCCTGCCGGAGTGTGGAGAAGGGTGGACAGAGGAGCCCCAGAGGCCATGTGCAGGGCCTTGGGCTTGTGGCAGGGGCCCAGAAACAACGGTAGCTACCATGGGGGAGGCAGGCCAGTGTAGTCGGAGGTCCAGGTGAGCCAGGAAGCAGCAGAGCCAGCCAGGACATAGGAAGTCTGCTGGATCTGGGCATTGAGGGAAGGGAGAGGAGGACTTGCAGGGAGCACTTCCCGAGCTTCTCCTTGAGCCAGAGACCAGGTGCTCAGTTGTGAACACACAGGGCCTTGGGTCCTCAGGTCATACGTGCAGTGACAACACATTAACCAGATCCTCACCCAAACGTGGCTGGACGCTGGCAGGTGCTGTAGAGGCGGATGACAGCATGTAACTGAGTGGACAGATGTGGAGAGAACCAGGAGAACAGGGCGGTGTGGAGGTCCCGGGGCTGGCTGCAGCTTGCACAAGGCGTGCAGTCCTCAGTGGGGCCAGAGCTGGCCTCCAGGCTTATTGAAGCTCATGGCAAGGAAGCCTTTAGAGCAAGAGTTGCAAGTTCTGCCCTATGGGCCAAATTTGGCTCGCCATCTGGTGTCCCTGTTGGTCTTGTGTTGGTTTTATAACCAGACAGCACGTGTACTTGCCAGAGAGAGGGCAAGTGAGAAAGCACCTGCAGTGGGGCGTGGTCACATCACCATCCCTTCTCTACCTCTTCCTCCTGTTAGAACTTTGGGCATGCGTGCACACACACTTGGCTTATTTCAAGCTGGGATTTGAACCCTGGTCTGCCATGTAGGATCCTGCTCCCTTAGGCACATGTGCTAACTGGAGAGAGAGAGACAGAGAGAGGGAAAGTGAGAAATCGCTCCCAAGAGGAGATGGCCACATCGCAATCCCTCCTCCTCCACCATCCTCTTGGGATTTTGTGCACGCACTCAGACCTGGCTTAGTTTTCGAGCCACCAGGTCTGGGACTTGAACTGAGCAGTCAGCACCTTAACCACAGGCCCAGCCACCACCTGTTACAAAGTTTGATCAGAAGCCAGCGTGCACATTCTGGTTTGGTCTGCAGATACCTTCCCACCAGGTGCCAGAACTCAGTCTCGTCCAAGGTGGGGTTTCTCCCTGGGCTTTACAGCTTTCGAGGGTTTTACCAAACGGGGCAGAAACACAGTGAGGCTTGTGCTTTGCACACTTGCTTGGCCCTGAGTGTGAACGCACAGGTGGTGACCCTGCTGCTGGCAGGGACGCAGTGGGCCAGCACTGCAGTGGCCGTGGGGTGGAGGAGGGCAGAGGAGATGGGGCAGGAGAGGTGAGCAGGGGGGAAGCAGAGCTCACAGACCTTTAGCCACAGTGAGGGCGTGTGGGCACAGGGTGCATAGGATGTCCTGAAGAGGTGATCGAGAGACACCTCGTGACACAGGCCTGGGCTTTGGGGAGGCTGGGACTGGGGTGCAGGATTTTGGGGTCGAAATAGATGTGGACAGGGTCCTGCAGGCACAGCCCATTCTGCTCCCCGGGACCTGCCTTCTGTGGGGAAGCACGGGTGCCCTGGTCTTCAGGCAAAGCTGGAGGGGCCACTGGAGTGTGCAGGAGAGAGGCCTGGAGGGCAGGGGAGGGTGAGGGGGCAGTCGGGCCTCTGAGCAGCAGCGTCTTCTTCCCTCCGCCTGCAGCATCCACAACGGGGTGATCGCCGTCTTCCAGCGCAAAGGGTTGCCTGACCAGGAGCTCTTCAGCCTCAATGAGGGTGTCCGGTGAGTGCTGCTCGTCCCACACAGGCCTGGGTCTGTGGGTGGCAGGGAGGGCCATGCCCAGGGTGGGAGGCCCCGCTGGTGTGCTGTGCATGAGGTTCCAGCCATGGAGGCCATCGGTCAGTGGAGGAGCAAGGTCTGTGTTTGCAGGGCTTGGTTTCCTGAGCCGCTGTGGGGGCCTGGCTGTCAGGCCTGGCGGGCTTGCCCACCCTCCTGTGGACGGTTTCAAGGGGCAGCGGGGTGGCACTTGAACACTGGCTGGAGATAACACCCACGTTCCCGCTGATGTTGAGCATCGCAAAGGATATTTATTCTATTAAAGAGGAAGGACCCACCTGCCTGATGACCAGAGCAGATTCCTGGAAAAGCAATTACGGCCAGGCGGGACGCCCCTCATTTCCTGTGAGTAGCTGGGAAATGAGGATCGTTGAAACCCGCGGGAACAGACGGATGCCCACCCACGGGCCATGCACAGGCGGCCCTGGCTTCCAGGGAGCCTGCAGTCTGTGGTTGCAGTTTGGGGCGGAGGAGGCCAGAGCTCAGCGGGGTCAAGAGACCTGCCCAGGTTACACCGCTACTGCAAGGAGGCATTCCCCGCTGCTTCCTTCCAGCCTGACCCTCTGTACCCTCTCCCTGCATCAAAAGTCTGTCTGGGGTGGACCAGCAGGTGGCGTGGTGGTTAAGGCGCTGGACACTCCTACATGGCTAACCAGGGTTCGAGTCCTGAATCTGGTGGCTTCCTTTCTCACTTCCTCTCTCTCTCACTGTACCCTCTGTCTCTCTCTGGTCAAATTAAAAAACAAATGAATGAATAAATAAAAAATAAAATCATTATAAAAGAAAAAGTCTGTCTGGAGACACAGGCAGTGAACCTCCCTCCTGTGATTCAGGGTGGGGACTGAAGCCTATATGTCGGGCCTAGCTGCTGTGGCCTGCCAGGGATGCAGGCGTCCCGCAGGGCTGGAGCCACCTGGCCAGCCACAGGTGCAATCCTCAGTTGTCCCGAAGACATACTGGGTGCACGAGAAGGCACCCATGGTCTGGGGCTAGGGCAGGGCCAGGGGAGGAGGCGGCGGTGAGCGAGGCTCCGTGGAGGGTGTGCTGTCTCTGTCCCGTGTATATGCACTCTGTCGTTCAGGAAATGGGAAGGCCAAGCTCTCGTACATAGGCAGCCCCCAGCCCATATGACAGTTGAGAAAGCCCTCATTTCTGGTAAACTGAGGCCCAGGGAGGGCAGTGTCCGGCCAGCGTCGACAGTTGTCAGCTGTGCAGGGTCTCCTTTCTCTGGCTGGCCCAGGGTAGGACCCCAGGAGCCCCATTTCAAACTGAGCCTGTGTAAGGAAACGGGAGTCTGCCGAGCCTGGAGAGCACCCTGGGTGTTCCACAGCAAGAGAGAGATGCTGGCAGAGTCACAAAGCCGCAGGTACAGCCCACGGGCTGCGTCGGTAGCTACGATCATGGTCCGGCCCAGGCTGCCTCTGCTCTCCACGGGCCTCGGGGCCCAGGGACTGGCCCCGGCTGGGCTCCCCTACTGGCCAAGCAAGTGAATAGAAATCCGGGACAGTGCAAGACTTGGCGCTCCCGGGCAGGTGCGTCACTGGGACAGCCTGTTTCTAGACAGTTGATAATGACCTGCCGGGCTCTAGGTAATGATGATAAAGCTCTTTTATTGAAGTCTTGCTCTCTGCCAGCCTCTGGCCATGTCTTAAACTCATCCACCCTCCGCCACAGCTCTGAGGAGTGGGTGCCTTACTCTGCAGGAAACTGACGCACAGAGAGAGGTGCTGCTCAAGGGCACGGGACTAGCAAGCACAGCTGGCATGCAGGCGCCAGCTCCAGGGCCTAGAGGTCGTCCAGAAGTGCCTGCTGCTCCCCCCATCTCTTGGCGACATTAACTGTGCGCTGAGCTTAGTCGTTCACCAGCTCTGATCCAGTGAGAGTTGTGGCTAGACCGTTGACTACAGCAACAGCTAGACAGCTTCCCGGTTCTTCAGGCTGCTTGGTGAACTTGGCGAGGCTGTCCGTCCTTCAGCCGTGTCCAAGCACAGGCAGCTGGGCAGGGTGGGACAGGGAATAGGAATGGAGGAGTCTGAGGCTGCTTATCATTCTTTTTTCCCTATCTTACACATATAATACTTTTTTATTTATTTATTTTGGAGAGGTTTTCGCTATAGGGCGCGTGTGCTCGCCAGACAGAGAGAGACATAGAGACAGAAAGCGAGAAATCACTCCCCAGGGGGCATGATCACACCACAATCCCTTCTCCTCCATTCTCCTCTTGGGATCTTGGGCACACACCCACACGCACCGGGCGTGAGTTTTAAGCCACCGTGTCCGGGACGCGAACCGCAGTCAACTACGTGGGAGTCCAGCGACACAGCCATTACACTAACTGCTGGTTCCCTATAATACTTTTTTTAAGAGAGTTTTTTTGTGTGTACTTTTTTTCTTTTTCTTTTTCTTTTTTTTCTTTTGCTATGGGGTGCATGTGCTCCTCAGAGAGACAGAAAGCAGGAAATCACCCCCGGGGGGATGGCCATGCCGCCATCTCTTCTCCATTCTCCTCTGGGGATTTCGGGCGTGCACGTACACACTGCTGGCATGAGTCTCAAGCTGCTGGGTCAGGACTCAAACCACTTTGGGCTGTAATGCCTTAATGACTACACCTGCTGGCCCCTTTATAACGCTTTATTTTTTCTTTTGGGGGGGGGAGGTTTTTGCTATAGGGCATGTGTGCTCGCCAGAAAGAGAGCGAGAGAGAGAGAGAGACAGAAAGCGAGAAATCACTCCCCAGGGGAGGATGGCCATGCAGCAATCCCTTTTCCTCCATTCTCCTCTTGGGATCTTGGGCACACACACACACGCACCTGGCGTGAGTTTTAAGCCACCGGGTCCAGGACTCAAACTGTGGTTGACTCCATGGGAGTCCAGTGACATAGCCATTATGCCAACTGCTGGTCCCCCTTTATAATGCTTTCAATGTAGCTTTTATGCAGGTATATTTCACATATCAGAAAATGCACCCTTTTTAAAGTATGCAGTTTGGGCTAATCCATGGCCTAGTGCTTAGGGCAGCCAAACCCTGCATGGCTGACTACAATTCGAATCCTGGCCCTGGCTTGAAAAACACGCCCTACACACGTGTGCGTGCCCAAAATTCTGATGAGCTGGAGAAATAGAGGGAAAAGTTGCTGCCTGGACCTGCTGGGGGTCCCCTGTGCCTTTGGTGAGCACGCGTCCCCTCTGGCTGTTACAGACCAGTGTGTGGCTCGCGGCTTTCACGTTTCTGCAAGGTTGCACAGCCATCAGCTCCGTTCAGTTCCAGACCTGTGAGCTGTCACGGGCTGTTCCCTCCCCGCCACCCGGCATACCAGTCCCTCTCCATCTCTGTGGGTAACTGGCTTCCTGCGGACACGGTAGGTGGGCTCCGCGTCTGACCAGTGTCCGAGGTCCATCCGTGCTGGGGCACGTGTCAGTGCCGCGTTCTTTCTGTGTATGCAGGACACAGCATTTTGCCTTCCCTCCCCTGTGGATGGGCGTGTGGGCGGTGTCCACCTTCTGGCTGTGGGGACATATGGTTTCCCTCAGGTACATCCCCAGCTGTGGGTCTGGGTGCATTGCTAACTCTGTGTTTACCTTTGTTTTTTATTTTGGTAATTTGCTAGAGGGCACATGGCTTGCCAGAGAGTGGGAGAAAGTGAGAGAGCACCCCCGGGGGTGGTCACGCCACACTCCCTCCATTTCTCCCTACTTTTAGGATTTGGGGCAACTGTATGTGCCTGGTATGTTTTTTGAGCTGCCGGGTCTGGGACTTGAACCACACAGGTGGCCTTGTGGGATCCTGCCATCCACACCACCACACCACCTGCCGGCCCAGCTCTCTGAGGGCCTGGCCAGAGCTGTTCCGCAGTGGCGCCTCATCTCCCTCCGGCTGGCAGTGTGCGAGAGTGTGTTGGGATTCAGTTTTCCACACTGCCAGCCTGGCTTCTCAGTTCGATTCTGGCAGGGCTTGTGGGCGTGAGGTGGCGCCTCCTGGTGGCTAGATTTGCATTTCCCTGGGTCGTCTTTGGAGAAATGCCTGTTCATCTCACCCACTTCTGGGCTTTGTCTGTTTGCTGCACTGAGTTCTCCGGGCACTCGGGGCCAGACCCTTCTGCAGCGCTGACTCGAGCACCGGCCCTCCCTTCCAGGGGACGTCTGTCCCAAGTTCCCTGAAGCACAGAGGAGGACGCCCTCACCTGGTGGAGGCTGCAGACGGGGACAGTCCTAGAGGGTCTCCCCGTCTGGGCCGCAGAGAGCTGCCTGCTGAGTCCCAAGCTGAGTCTCCAGCCTGCATGGCATTGTCCCTGAAGGGCACGTCACGTGGCCCACCTTCCTGGACAGAGCCTGGGGGTGCTCTGCCGTGAGGCCGTGCCCTGTGCCCGTGGCCGGGGCTGCTCCGCACTGCAGGTTCTCCCCGCGCTGTCCCTGTAGGTGCTGCGAGGGCCTCTGTCAGGGCCCCGGCCCTGGTGTCGGTGTGCCCACTGCTGCTCTGGCTCGGACTCAGAAGGGAGTAGCCGTGTGCCAGGGCAGTGAAGGAACTCACGGGCAGGCACTGGGCCACCCGGGCTGCTCACTGCGAGGCCTCTCCTGTCCCTCAGCTTCCTGACTGAGTCACAGACCCACCCTCCCCACCCAGCCTCAGCACGAGGTCCTGCTGGCCTTGCACTCCCAGGATGCAGCACACCCTCTGGGCAGGCACCCTGGCCTCTGCCCTCTCCTTCTCCAGCCCCCTGTGCAGCCAACCTCGCAAGTGACACACCAGCTGTCCCCCTGCCCCCTCCCCACCCTGAGCCTGGGACTCCCTGCTGCAGTCGAGCCCACATACCCCTCTTCCTCACTGCAGGCACGGCCCTCTGTCCCCAGCATGCACAGGGCTGGCCAGGTCCTGTCAGTGTAGGGAATTGCAGGGTCAGCTCAGGCTGGCAGCCAGGACAGCATACCCACTGGAGGAGGAGATGGTCTTTGCTTTCCTCCCCCTCCGTTCTAAGTGTCCCACGGCACCTAGTTGCCCACGGCAGGCCAGACAGGCCGCCTCTTAAGACCCTGTAGGAAGGATGCCTTTTTTTTTTAAGTTTATTTATTCCACGAGAGAGCGAGAGCGACAGCAGCGCCCCTGACCAGGTCCCGACACTGCGACCCCCTCCACCAGCCCAGATCATGGGTACGCGTGTGGCCCGGTGCACTCACAGGTCTCGGCCTCCAGTGGGCAGCTTCCATGAGAGGCAGCCTTGTGGAGCATCCCGTTGTACCCTGGGCCACCAGCCGGCCCCAGAATGTGTGTTTAGAACCGGCCATACCTGGGGGCCGGCCGTGGTTCCCTGACACGCGACACCAGCACTTGCACCCACTTCGCCATCATGGGAGAGCAGAGGGTGAAGAAGACTGCTGAGCGCCTGCTGCATGCACTGAGGGTCGGCCGTGGTCCCCGCTGGCCTCTGCGGTCCTCCTGCTCTACTTTCAGGCCTGTCACCGAAGGCATGCCAGTGCGGGGGCATGCCCTTCAGCCCCAGCAAGCTGGGGGGGCTCCCTGGGCTCAGCCTGGAGCCCTCACAAAGACCCTTCCACTCTCCCTCTGCCCCTGCCCTCTGGCCTTGCCCCGGGCGGCCCCTCAGATAGTGTGTGTGACATGAACTCTGCCGGGTGTGGGGGTCACCTCAGGAAGTCACGGGCACAGCCATGTCAGCTCAGTTGTGGCGGCCCAGATGGCTGGTGCCTAGGGCTAGCAGGAGAGGTGGAGGGCTTAATGCACAGGGGCATTCGGGCCACCGTCAGGTTCCCAGGTCAGCGTGTGTGTGCACAGTGGTCTCGGGGACCCACAGCCTCATCTCTTGCACTCCCACCGGTTCACAGCTGTGCCGAGAGGAGCCTGGGCCTCAGAGCAGGCCCAGGGCTGGCACCTGCAGCTGCCCCATTAACCAGGACCCAGCTTCCTCGCCCTTCACATGGGGACCCTGTCACGAGCCACAGCCTGTGGTTGAGCCCTGGGAGCCACTTGGCAAACGCTGCTGTCCATCCCATGCTCTGAGCACCCCCACATGGCACCAGAGGCCCCCACCCTGTGCTGACCAAGGGTTGGGGTGCAGAGCATCTACAACTCTGCAGCTGTGCTGGGGACCCCAGCTCAGACCCCTGGCCTCTGGGCTGCACGTAGCTCCCAGGTCCTGGTCCCCCGGGGAGCTGGTGGAAGCAGTGGCCTTTGGAAGAAGCAACAGGCTGGGTCGTGGGTGCTGCTGTGTGCACACCTGTTACCTGCGCTGTGACTGGGGGCTGGGAGCCAGGGCAGAGCGCAGGGCCACCCGTGCTGTTACTCCATTAGCGTGTGGGGCTGGGGGCGGGGGACCGAAAGTGTCACTTAACCAAAGCGTGGTGGTGGCAATCCGTGTACGCCAGACCGCACAGTGAGAGCCGCCTGATTCCAGCTGGCCCCAGTGACTTCCCGATGGCACCGGCAGCCTGCAGGAGACTCTGGCACAGGGCTGGCCGGTGGTGTGGAGGTTAAGGCAGCTGGATCCCAGAGGGCCAACTGCATGGTTCAAGACCCGACCCAGTGACTTGAAAAAACATTGGCCTACGTGTGTGCGTACCCAGATCCCTAGAGCAGAAGGGATTGTGGCATGGCCATGGGTGGGGGGATTTCTCGCTTTCTCTCTGTCTCTGCTTCTCTTTTGGGTGAGGGCACATGCTCAACGAGAACTTTTTAAAAAGAGAATCCACCCAGGCCTGCCGCTGGTGCTAGGTCGGAGAGGACAGAGCGAGCTGCTGTGGGTAACGCCACTCCGGGACTCGGGCAGGTGGGAGAAGGGATCCAGCCCAGGTTGGGGCCCAGCCCTGCCAGGAGTCCACAGTGGCCTTCATTCGTCCCCTAGGGCCCTGGCTTACTCTCTGGGGAGTGAGTGGGCGAGCTGCTTGAGGAGCCACAGCTCCGGACCACGGAGGCCTAGAGCATGGCCGACTGGCCCACCCACGTCGTAGGTCTCTGCTGCCCAGGAGCCGTGTCCCTCACCAATGCCCCTGGTCTGATGCCCTCTCGTTTCCCTCCCACCCCAGGCAGCTGCTGAAGACGGAGCTGGGGTCCTTCTTCACGGAGTACCTGCAGGTGGGTGGGCTCTGCTGTCCTGCAGTCTGGCTCGAAAGGACGGGCTCACCTGTTCGCATGGGTGTGGTGCACCTGGCTGTGATGGTGTCCACGCGTAGCCGGCGTGGATTGCTGCGGAGGTTATGGTAGTTGGTAAGGTACAGTGCGGTCTCAGCTCGGTGCCTGCACGTGGGGGCCCCAGGTTTCGTCGTTAGAGCCCCCCACCCGGAATACCTGTAGGACTCCACGGTCGTGTTTGGGTGCCTCACAACCCCAGTGCCCGGCCACCTGGCGTCGGTGGCACCCAGCAGTGCCCAGGCCCTGCACTTGCCTTTCTGGCCAGCAGGCGCTCACAGTCGGTGAACACAGGGAGCCTGCAGCCCAGAGAGGTGACGTGACCTGCCTGAGGTCACACAGCCAGGGCCGCACGCTGGCCCTGCCCCCTTCAGCACTGCGGGTGATGTGGGTGCCCGGGGCCCTTCCAGGGGACGGGGTGAGGATGGCTTCGGGGTTTTAATGACGACTTAACTGTTTTCTTGGGGCTGTAGTATTCTCCCACCTGGAGCCTCCAGCTCGGGGGAGCTCAGTGCGCCAGCCCTGGACGGCCATGAGCCCATGCGCTGCCAGGACTCGCACCCGGAGGGAACCCTGGGCCAGCGCCACGCTATGTCAGGGAGTCAGATCCCGCATGGCCAGCCAGAGTTCGAACCCCAGCCCCAGTGGCTTGAACAACATGCCAGGCACATATGCATGCCCCAAACCCCAACAGGATGGAGAGACAGGAAAGGGATGATGGCGTGACCACACCCCACTGGGGAACTGCTTTCTCGCTTGCCCTCTGTTTTTCTCTGCAAGCACATGCTGCTTCTGACAGTTACAAAACGAGACAGATGGGACCAGCAGGTAGTAGGGAGGGTGGGGCGCTGGACTCCCACATGGCCAACTGTGGTTCAGATCCTTGACTGGGGCCTTGCTTTCTCACTTTCTCTCTCTGTCTCTGTCTCTGTCTCTCTCGTCAAATTTTAAAAACAGACCGCTGCCATTAGCAGCCGCTCCTCATCACCGCTGCCCCAGCCTTGGCAACCACCATCCACTCCCCATCTCTGGTTTGGCCTGTCCTGGACATTCATGGCAGTGGCCGCAGACAGTGCGTGGCCTTTGTGCCCAGCTTCTCTCACTTAGTGTTCCGTTTCCCAGGCTCATCCACACCATTGCGTAGATCGGAACTTTGTCCCTTCATAGGCCCAGGAGCATCCCCCTGTGTGGGCACACCTAATGCGGTGTCCGTGTTGCCATGGTCACCTGGGGTGGGGCCACCTCTTGGCTATGGAGAACAGTCTGAGGCCACGTGGTTCCCTTCTCAGTGAGAGGCCCAGGCCTGTGCAGGCAGGCCCCCAGGATGGTACCCAAGGCCGAGCCTCCCACTGTGGGGCCCCCACTTGCTTCAGAGCGGGGTCCTTTACTTACCATGGGACACGAGGGCAGCCTACTGCCCAGCTCGGCCTGTGCCGGAGGCTCTGGGCTCAGCTTGTCTGTTGAGGATGTCCCATGGCACCTCTTCTCTCGGGACAGCCCCAGGTTGGATCAGTTGCTGCACCCAGGGCCGGCCGAGGTCAGGCTCTGCAGCAGCAGCTGTGGGACCTCAGGGTGCACCCCTGCCCCCTCTGGGCTCTGGCTGCTTGTTGATGGGCCCTTGAGGCCCCACTGGCAGGACACCTATGCCATCCGCCGGGCAGTGACTCCCCCTGTGTTTGCCTTCAGAACCAGCTGCTGACGAAAGGCATGGTGATTCTCCGGGACAAGATCCGCTTCTATGAGGGTGAGTCTGCGGCCCCGTGCCAGGGCCATGGGGCCACACTGCGCTCGGGTGAGGCAGTTCAGCTTGCCAGGTGGCATGGCTGGTGCCTCGGGATGGTAGCATAGCAGGTGCGCATGCTGGGAGTTATGGCAGCACCCGGGCTCCCCACCACAGGCTCGAAGTGGGAGGGGTGGGAGGGGTGCTCTCTGGTCAGGAGAAGGTTAGAAGGGTTGGAAACAGCCCAAGGGGCAGCAGGGCTGAGACCTTCCCCAAACACTCTGGTCACAAGGCATTGGGAGGAGGTACTGGCTTCCCCTCTCGGCCCCTGGCGCCCTGGCGAGTCCCACCCCCGTGGCCTAGGAGAACTCCACTGGGGACTTTGAGGGTCAGAGGTCTGGTTCAGGGCAGAGGTCACCCTGGCCCCATAGAGGAAGGAACAGGGCGGGGACCATGGCTTCAGCCACGTCCCTCTGCTGGGAGTGCTGTGTGCTGGGCCTGGTGCTAGTGCAGCTCTGTAAGCGTTTGCTGAGCACCTGCTGCGTCCCAGGCACTGGCGTGCACCGTGTGCCAGACGGACTGTCCGGGTGTTCCCCATCTGCTCGCTCATGTGAGGCTCCAGCACCCCTGGGGAGGAGGCACCGTTGTTACCACCCTGCACACGGGGGAACCGAGGCATGAGAAGAGCAGCATCTCAGGCCACAGGCTGCTGCGTGGCGGACGAGGCGCAAGGCAGGCCCCGGCTCTCGGCCTGGACTCTTCAGTCTGCGGCTCCGGGAAGATGGTGTCAGCGCCCCGTCAGAGCAGGTGCTGAGGCCGCCAGTGCTCCTGGGAAGCTCAGAGCTGTGTGCCCTTCATCCTCCATCACCTCCACTGCGCGGCCGGCAGGGCTTGCTGGGGGGAGCATGAGCGAGGCCGTGAGACCTGTCAGACCTGGGGCGTTAGCCCCCGGGGGGTCTGGGTGACTTCCTGGAGGAGGCAGTGTGTGAGCCAGTGAAACAGCCATGAGCTTTGGCACCTGAGGAAGATGCCCACCCACATTGCTCTCCTGACACGGCACATTCCGGCAGTGCCAACGCCCCAGTCCTCCCACCAGCCTGACCCCAAGCCGTGCACGCGGGAGAAGGGCAGCTTTGTGCGGCTGGTGGCGCTCTCCCAGCAGACAGCCCGCCCGGGGCAGGGACAGCGGCTGGGCACGGGGGCAAAAAG